TTAGAATGCAAAAATTTGAACTAGATTTAAGGTGGTGTCTGATTGCTTTCAAATCACGTTGTTCCCTTTGTTACTAGCAAATATTTTGTGAGGATATTATTAGGACTGTGTAAATATCCATTTGCTCACTAAACTCTTATCACCAATTCCAATAGCCATTGATATTTTTCTTGACAGCCTAATTATAGCTATGATTTTTGTCATCTGCTGATTCTCTGATTTACATATATTATTTAAGGAAATGCTTTTTATTCTTTCTCCTCATTTATTCAGTCATTTTTTATGCCAGTGGGCTATACTTGTGGCTAATTATTCATTTTTATTCTTCACATTTCCCTCACTTTGGCCAGCTAAAGGCCTTTTAAAGCAGCAAGATGTTCCAAGCTTATCTTGAACTTATGTGCTCACTTCTTAAATCATCCATTTCTTCAAAAAGTTCCCCTAGTCTCCTTTCTCATTTGTAGAGTGTAATTTTATAAAATAAGATTTGAGTGATAAGTAATTATTACTGAAATGCTACTATTCAAGCCTGCTCAGCACTAAGGAAATATGGATGGATGCATAAACGTATTATTGTTGTCATAAAGTGCCACTGAGGCAACTACAATTCAAAGTGGTCATATGAACAATGGATCTGAACCCTGCCCTCGTCTGTGCCATCTTCATCACCTCTAACATATTCGAGCCCACCATTGGAGTCACTTTGTCAATCCATCTCCTTGATAGTCTTCCCTTTCTTGGTTGACCCTCCACCTTTCCAAGTATGGTGTCCTTCCTTTTCCAAGAACTGGTCCCTCTTAACAACATGCCCAAAACACATGAGATGAAGTTTCACTTTCATTGTCTCCAAGGAGCACTTTGGTTCCAACTTTTCCAAAACATTGTTTGTTTTTTTGGCAGTCCGTAGAATATTCAGTACTCTTCTCCAACACCACAACTCAAAGGCATCAGTTCTTCTTCTGGTGTTGTCAAGTCAGTTTAAACACAGAGCAACCCCATGTGTCACAGTAGAACTGCCCTAAAGGTTCTCTAGGTAGCAGAGTTGCTGAGAGAGTTTGAGGCACCGATTTACCCTGAAACCACGATGGCTCTTTATGCATGTATATATGTATTATATATACACACATTTACATATCTATTTATTGATTAACCTATGATTTCACAGTGATTAGGACTGATGCCTCCAATCCCAATCCAATAACACAACATTCATTTTAGGTTTCCTCTAGTCATATCTCTTAACTCCCTTCTCCTGTTAGTGAAGAATATGGCTTCTATCAATCTTACCAGTCTCCAACTATTGCAGTCACTACCCTCTCCTATACTGCCAACTCAGGCTCCAACATCACATTCCAAATCACTGCTATAACTGCCCTTATCAAAGACGTCTACGAGTCAACTCAGCCATTGACACTATATATGCACTAAGACACTACCTCCACCTTTTTGAGTGGCAGCCCTCTTCACCATGTTCAGGCTTCATTGTCCACCAGATGCCTACCACAGGCATCAGACACAGAGACGCTATTTGAACCCAATTTGGGTTCCTTCACTATGCATTATTTAGTTCTGTCGAATTGGCTTTACGTCACAGTGACCATATATACAACAGAATCAAACCCTCCCTGATCCTGCACCATTCTCAGAATTGCCGCTCTACTTGAGGGCACTGTTGTAGGCACAATGTCCTTTTCCAAAGATTGGTCCCTTGTAATAACATGTCCAAAGTATCTCAGACTTTGTCTCAGTAGCCTTACTTCTAAGAAGACAAATGCCTTTCAAAACAAATGCCTTTGTTCTTTTGACAGTCTGTAGTAAATTTCATATTCTTCACCAACACCACAATTCAAAGACAGACACCAATTCTTCTTTAGATATCCTTATCCATTGTCCAACTTTTATGTGTATATGTTGTTGGTGTATACTACAGAGAAGGAAATGACTCATAGCTGATCCTCCAGAGAGTTTTTAGAAACAGTTAATTGCACAGGAGGCAACTGCCATCCTTTTACCTCAGAAGAAGGTGGTGGATTCGAGTCACATGCCTTTGAATTAATTGCAACACAGCTTCTTACCCCTAGGCCACCAGAGCTCCCTTATGTCCATATGAGGTGACACAAAAGACTATGGCTCAGATCAGGGATACTTTAGTTCAGGTGACAGGTGTACAGATTGACAGGTGTACATATGTCCTCTTTATTCCTAGTCCCAGACTGCAATCCTCTTGCCCACTCATAACTACACCTTCCTTGCTTTATACCACTTAATGGCTTTTAAAATATATTATTAAGAAAAGCAAGGAAACAAATCAGCAGGCTAGCAGTTAGGCAGGGTGGCAGGAAGGAAAGAAGACTAATCCTTTCTCTTTAAGCGTTTATACCTTTACTGTTACAGATGATAGATTTGTGGGGTTTTTTTTTTTTTGTAAATCTGTTACTTTTTTTATCTTACTTCCTGATACATTGAAGAAATTGAATATTTTCAGTAATCCTCTCTCCAGCCTCTATTTATCTATCAAGCTCTTGGAGAATGACTACATTGATAACATACTATTTCAATGAGGGTAAGGTAGAATTCTTTGGCTTGATTTCAAGTAATGATTCTATGAGAATCTTCAATATAACAATTTTGTCATTTATTTATTCTATGCAAATAATAACCATCAAAACCTCCACATATTAATTTTTGACTTTTCATAAAAGATGGCCTAAATTAAATTAAAAATAAATCACTAATTATGTGATATCAAATTACCAATTTCATTTTAACATTATTTGAATGGGCACCTGAAAAGTTTATCATATCTTAATGGCACAAAACATTTAAAACAAGCAGTCATTATATCTTGCTTTAAATATTTTTTTCTCTTTTTTATGTGGTTGTGGTTGTTCCTCTTTTTTACATGGTAGGGAGAATTTACATTACGGGGGAAAAATACTCTGGAAACTCCCCATAAAAAGAACCTTGGCTTCAACCAAGTCATTTCCCAGTTTTTATTCTTTTTTCTTGCTAATATCGGGCATATTGTGATATAACGTAAGACAAAATACCTTACCAAGAATTCAACTTATTCAGAAATATATTAAAAATTTCTTAACTTTAGTGTCCTTGTGCAAATTTCTATTTATGCAATTCACACAACTTCCCTCTATTTTTTACATCATGTTGTTGTTGTTGTGGTTATGTGCTGTTTAATTGAGTACGACTCATCGTGACACTATAAACAATAGGTCTGAAGCCTGTCCTATCCAGCACCATCCTCATCATCGCTGACACACCTGAGCCCATTACTACCATCATTAGTGCTAGTTAAGTATGTGATTTTGTTTTTGTTAACCTTAAATGAATAATATGGAGGTTAAAAACGAATGGGTCATTATCCTTTCAGATTCTTTTAGAAGCGTCAAGTATATATAAACCGATGTGCTTGAACATTTGCTCCACGGAATATGAGCCTTTAGAGATTATATATGTAACTCAGGAGAGATTGGAGAACATTATGCTGGGTATATTAACTCAATTTCATACTGACAAATACTTCATACAATAATTATTAAAATAGAAGGATAAATAATAAAACATTTACAAATAAATAAACCATATAATTTTACTTAAAAATTAGTTTTGCCAGTGTGTGTGTGTGTGTGTGTGTGTG